GTTGCTAGTTGTTGGTATAACACATGAGCATGCATAATTCATCAGTTATGGATGTACGGCGTGGATGTTTCCCCGTAATGAGACTACGGCTGTACCACACTAGGAGTATTTAGACATTTTCTCGTAATGAGACCTCGGTGGTACCAATACTCGAAGATGATCGGGCTATTTTCGGATTAGGCTGATACACCTACATTCCGTTGTATGATCATCAAGATGCATCATCCGGAATAGGGGAGATAAAACCTATTACCGCAGAACGATTGAGTAAGGACGTTGAATCCACATGATATTGTGAGAACCTTACAAGAGTATCATTATATGATATATATATATATACACAGTTGTAATTTGCTCCCATGCAAGTTACCCAAGAATAGGGTATAATTTTGAGATTTGATAGATATAGTCTGTTTATGGGAATGATTATGCTGGATGATACTCCTTATGTTTGTGCCAACCACCCGAGAGTAGTCTGAGTTTTGACATAGCTCACCATGTGTGAGGGTTGGAGTTGTTGTTTTACTTCCATGTATTGATTCTCTTTACTTCTTAGTTGGGATCAATGATTAGCGATTCATAATTTGAGACACGTGGTATATATATGAAGGTTTCCTTGTTTGGATTATTTCACTCGACGTACTAGTCTCGTGTTATAGGTTTATAATTATTGATTTCTTTTAGATTGTTTATCTTTAGTTCGATGTTAATATTTAGGTATCTACAATTTGAGACATATGGTATATACATGAGGGTTTCCTTGTTTGGAATATTTCATTCGACATACTACGTCTCACTTTGTAGGTGTCTAAATATTAATTCCATTAGATACGGGAAAAATAATTTAGGTAGACCATGCTTAATAGGTAGATCCTCCACTTCATCCAGCAGCCCTTCCCCTGGGGGCAGATGGAGGTGATCTTGCTATAACGCTCTGACACTCTTGTTGTTGTTCTTTTTATTTTAAATTCTTTTCTGGCATCTCAGTGTTCCGGAGAGTCGCAGGATGACGGAGTTCTGGCATAGTCACTGTTGTATGATTTTACCATTACAGGCTCCACTATAGGCTTATATATCCATTTAGACATTAGAGTTTCATTTTCATATTGTAAAGGCTGTGTGCCTTAATTTTGTTTCCAGTTGACTCATGATTGAGTTAGTTCGTATTTATTTCAGATGTATTACAGATTGTTCAGTTAAGAGATGATTTCATATATGAGATGTCTTTCTATATCATGTATATTGTATTTATTTCCTTTACTCTGCCTGTTTTGTACCTGCACATCCATTTGATTCCGCTAGAGGATATAACTGTGATCGATGAAACATGTTATTACATAGTGTGGGTGTATGCTAGGTTTGACATCCTTGGTTTCACCTTGGACTGTAGCCTTGTGTGAACCCAGGGATGTCACAAAATAGTAGATCAGTCGACTGCCCTTAGGAATCAGTCGACTAACACTTGATTAGTCAACTAATTTCCCATCAGTCAACCGAACACGAACATGCACAAACATTCACAAACAACAAGTCTCGATCGGTCGACCGATACATATATCGGTCGATCGACCAGAGAGGAACTTCAGTTCCTGCAAACCAATCAGTCGATTGACTCCTATATCAATCGTTCGAACAGAGGGAAAATTCCCAGTTCTTGAAGATCGATCAGTCGACCGATTCATATATCAGTCGACCGACCAAAACACTAAAACAAAAACGCCAGGTTTCTAAGGTTAATTATTTTTCTCAAAATCTCATGAAATATTAACATGGGGTGTAAAACATGTTACAAATCTTTCATTTACTTAAGTGGAAACTTGGCCAAACAAGTATTCATCAATGAAAACATGGATTTGGGGATCAAAAATTTCCCTAAACATCACTGATCAGATTTAACTTGATTAATTAATTAGGTTTTTATTCCTAATTAATCCATCAATTAGCAAATAATTAGGTTTCTAATCATCAAGATCATGTCTTTTCATTGTTTAGGGATTAGATCTAAATCTTTATTCATCAGTTTTAGGGTTTAGATCCATTAAATTGAAAATCTAAGGGGATGGGTTTGGGAAGAGATTAAATTTCCTTTCAAATTTGTTTTGATCTGTTAAACATGGAAGAAACTCGATCCTCCTACCCAAAAGCCATAGATCTCGCCCTCTTCTTGAACTTTACTTCTCAAAGCTTCTCAAAATCCAAGAGAAGAATTTTAGGGTTTTAGAGAGGGGGTGGCTGTTTCTCAAACGTGAGAGATGAAGAAGAAGAAGAGTGATAAAGTTCGGGTTTTAATATATATAAGATCAGCCAGACCCGAACTGACCCGACCCGAGACCCAACTCCTGAATAGCTATCGGTCGACCGATCCTTCTAATCAGTCGACTGACCAGAATATGGATCAAAAATTACAGGCTTATATATATTCACCTATATATATGCATACAACCGTAAAACAATTTATTTATTATCATATAACAATATCTTTCTCATTTTTTGGGTTTTACAAATTGTTCAACAAGTTCAGATAAGTACTAAAAGCTCTAATATTTCATTGTTTTGATGAATTCGTAATAATTTTTTTACTCCTTTTTCTAACTACCGATTTTCATTTGGATTTTTTGGATCGAAAGATATTTGCAATTGAGGCCTCTTCTCTTAATTTTGAACACTAATGGTATTTATTTTACTTTTCTTTATTTTATATCATATCATTTTAATATAATATAATTATATCAAGTGTCAAAAGATGTTAATGGGAAAAATAAAGAGGATGAAAAATTACAGATCTAAATTATTTGAGAAATATTTGGGTAAGATTTCTTTATTGATTTTATTATAAAATTCTAACTTTTTACCGAATTTATTTAGTTTAATTAAATGATATCCAATTTTTATCCTCGATTTCAATTAATTAGGTTTGTTTCTATTAAAATTTCCATTATCCTAAATTTTATTCTCAATTATTAATTAATAAACTACTTAATGAAAGTTTCTAAATATTCTACTTTAGTGTAATTATTTTATTTATATTTTTTAGAATTCAACTTTTCAAGTTTTGAATTGACCCTCTTTTCTTGATTAAACTCGAGGTGAGAATCTACAAAAGTCTTTAAAAATTTCACTTTGCTATAATTATTTAATATTTTTGCTATTTTTATAATTGATATTTCATAACAAAAATCGAACTGAATATCTCATAACAATTGTATTAAATGAGTGGACTCTTTTTTGATAGGTAACAAATATCAATGTTAGGTATTAAACATAAATTTGACCTACTTAGATTTGAACTAGGTAAACTTCTAAATTAAACTTTTTTAAGTTGGAAAAAATTACAATAAATTCAATCACGTTTATTCGGATATAATATAGTTCTTAGAAATCACATGAAATATGCATACAATAATAAAATCAAATATATGACTATACATTCATATTATTGTTAAAAATAAATAAAAAAATAGATACAATTACGCATAAAGTAAATAGCATACAAAACTAGACAATTAATAAGACAAAAGTCAGTTTAATTTTTTGTACAAAATATAGTTTTGGTGCTCTTGGAATTGTTTTGAGTTGCCTTATCCACTTAAAATAACCTGTAAATCGATAAAATAGAAAATACATTAGATTTGTGAAAATTCATTAAAAAATTTACTACCAATTAAAAATTATTTGGCCGATAAATATAACTAACATAATTACCATAATTATTGATATGATTTTAATTATGCTTTATTATCTTTTAATGCTTAACTTTATCATGATTTCTAGGCAAAGATATATTTTCAAAACTCAATCAGGGGGTGGGGAGGGTTCCCTGCTTTAGAAAAGGAGGTATGTCATTGTATGTTTATATTCTAATGAGAAACGAGTGATTAAAACATGATAATATGTTGGTGAATTGCGATAAGATTGTGCTTAGCTCAAGCTAATCCAATTTACTATAGTTCGTATATTTTTCTTGATTTTTCGCGTAGGGTTTACAACTGAAGTCATTTTCTTTTGTTTGAGAGTTATGGAAGGGGCATCCTGATGGATCACATGCATGGTTTGATGGATTTTTTTTGTTAGTTTTAGATTTTTTTTTGTTAATTATGTTGCTAGGTCTGGTAATTATCTCAAAATTAAATTAAAGTCTTAATATATTTTTTAATTGAATAGATGAAGTTGAAAACTATTTTTATATTAGCTTTAACATGATGCAGAAAACATATATATTCCACTTGCTATCAAGAGATTAATAAGTAAAAATATGTGTTTTCATGTTAAGGTTACAGAGTTTAACACAATAAATGCATTGAAGACTACACGGTTATTACAATTGTTGATGATGATGTGGACGATGAAAAACTCAAAGGACTGTTACAACAAGCAAAAAAATAAATGAGCAAGGACTGTTACAACATATTTATGCCTTGGCATATTTTAATAAATGATTTTATAATGTTAAATTTATTAATGAACATGCTTTACATTTTGCAAAGATGAGCAAGGAACCAGCTCTTTCAACTTTGAAGAAGATAATTAAGACGGAGTACAAATGATTAAAATTTATTGGAGCTTTTCTTAATATTCTGAGTATTACATCTTATGATTGGTTGATTGATTGAGAATATTTTTTTGGTAAAGCATCATTTGCGAATAGTATTTTTTGAACATTAAACTTTCTTATATCATAGTTTCTTTCAAGTTGCATTTTAGGTATATTTTGATTAAATTTATTTATTTGTTTAATATGAAAAAAATTAATTTAAACGATCTTAATTTTAATTATACCATCATATAAGTTGCTCAATATCATAATCCCCAGCCAATGACATGGTCTCTAACTGGGGGGGGGGAGATAAAGGCGGTTTGAACTGTGCGTGGTCACATGCTTCAAGATGACCGCTGAGTCATTACATCTTTTAAATTTATTCGAATAAGAGTGATTGAAATAGAACGAAATATAGATGAGCTGCGTTAAGACCGTGCTTAGCACGGGCTAAAAGACTAGCAGATTAGTTAAATGGTAAGAAATAACATATATCAAAAGTGTCTATAATTACACTACATAGCTCAAATCAACAGAATTTATATCACAAATCTCCCCAATTATTTTCCTCACTGCAATATCATCTTTCAATATAGATGTATGTGACATCCCAGGAACCCTAACCACCTTCACCCCTCGAAACTCTGACTGGAGCCACAACAAGCTAGCGATGTTCACCGTCCCATCCCCATCCCCGTACACCACCTTGGGCGCTACGTCAAATCCACCCCTCCCATATACCAACGTCTCTGGTGTATCAACCCCACACCCCACCAAGCAAGTCACATTCACACCCGGATCCGGTAACCCACTAACAAGCGGGAGGACACGAGTACTGTATGGGTACATCCCATTTTCATATCCGATATCCGTTAGAAACTCGGGCATGTCTCTAGCCGTGTAGGTTTTGTTATTGGATGTGTCGATCACAAGCACTTTGAACCCAAAAAGGGCCGGGGATGGTAATAACCACATGTTGCTTTCAGAGCTCCGTTGCTCATCTCGAACCAGTAATGGGTTGACGAGTGGTATACCAAGAGTGTACCCGGATCCAAAAGTGAGCATTTCTTGGACAGTGCCTCCCCAAGGCGCAGAGACAGCGAGTAGGTGCTTGATATGCTTGGCTCGCCACGGAGGCTCAGCACGTGCGAGGAATTGGAGGGCAAATAGGCCGCCAAGGCTGTGGGTAAGGAGGATAACAGGTTTGGCCCCATTGGATGCGAATGCGGATTCGATAAGTTGTTGGAGGTCTTTGAGGTATTTGGATCCGACTTTTGCTGGGTGGTCACGTGGAGCGAGGCCGTACCGGAAGTCGTAGGGTGCGCCGAAGAGGGTGCTACCTTCTTTGTAGCCGATCTTCTCAAGTGAGGAGATTAATGTTGCCATGTATTCAGAGATGTGCCTGTACAATTTGAGAGCTAACTTTGTATAAGATTAATTAAAAAAGAAATGGAAATTCTTCGGGAAGAGTTAGAAATGGCAATTACGGATGCTATTCGACATTTGCAGTGACAGTTGCAAGGAATCCAAATTCTTCGGCCGTTGGTCATGCATAACGATGACCTTAATAACAATGCGAATTCGATATTACACTTTTATAAATGATTAAAATTAAAACTAAGTATTTATAAATAAAAATGTAGAAAGATTCTAACTATTTAATATGTGACAATTATTTCATTTGCACACGCTAGAAAATCTAATGTATTTTGCCTGCCGCATTGTACATACAACGAGTGGCGCGTGCATGTTGAAAGTGATATATGCATCATCTGTTGTAAGAAATGAGCCTAAAACATGAGGTTTGGACATATGCACTTTAAATATGAGAGTATATGTACTTTTACTGCGATAAAATCTTAGAGTTTTCTAAAATATTTTTCTAAATTTTGGGTTAAGTTTTAAACTACATTTATGCTATAGCAGATATTTTTATAACAAAATACATTGTAGCCTAGTGGTTAACTTCTTTTTTAGCAAGTCATAGGTCAAGAAAACTTGGGTTTGGATTTGGCTAAGGTGCAATTATGGTACAATGGACAACTTCGTAGGTGCAATTTGCAACTAGAATAGAGACCTATATATAGCCATCGACCAAAACATAATCTCTCTCACTTGTGCTCTACATTTGTTGTGCCCATTTGAGTCTGATCCTATGACAAACCGAAGAGGTCATAGTTTGAGGAGGTTGTCTATAGTCAAAGTTAATGTTCTTGGAAGTAATTCGGCTTTGGAATCTCTACACCGAAGTAGGTCGAATCTTACTTTTAGTTCGGCATCTTAGAATGCACAGGACTCAAACCAGTTTTTTTCTACAGCAAGAATTTTAGGAAAGTCTGTATTCCTTGTCCCTTTTTTTGGGAAGTAAATCTTGTTTTTTATTTTGTTCTCACAAAAATTTCTAACACAAATACCATGCTTGGTCAACCACAATCCATATCCTTTGTTTAAGAAAATGTATTCTCATTATCAATGAACATATATTTAGCTACATTTTAAAATGACCAGAGCAATATACATGTGTTGCATGCAGACACACTTGTTGATCCTTTATTGAGAATTTTGTTATTCTATTACAATGTATAACACTATAATATATTATAATTATACTCCCTTTAAAAGTACAAGTTCGAAAAAAAAATTTTGTGGTCAACATTATCCTTCACTATTTTGAATATTTCAATTAAACCTTAATCTATCTTAATCATAGTTATATCTTATTCTAATCTCACGTGAACTATGTATAGCTCAACAATTTAAAAAAATAATATTAATAAAATAATATAATAGCTTTATGGTATTATTCTATTAAGGTAAATAAATTATACGTTTCTAACATACTATAATGCACGAAGTATTATAAAAAACCCAAAAAAGTTTTTAAGTTGCGCAAAATATCCTGAAAAGTTCAAAATTATAAAAAAACATCCTAACATCAAAACATAATACAACAAACATGAAATGAAGAAATTAACATCAGTTTGAGAAGAATTTAAAATTACAATGAACACCTCAATGTCTCAAAAATTATAGAAACACTCTTAAAAGTTTAAATTACAAACAAGCACCCTGAAATTCTAAAATTTCAAAACTTGCGAATAACATAGATGAAAGTTAAGGGATTACTACACATGAAAGTTTCTAATGTTTCAAAAATTAAAATAGCAAATATGAAATTAAGAAATTAACACCAGTTTTCAAAGAATTTAAAATTTGTCATGCTCAATGCCTTAAAAATTATGGAAACACCCTCAAAAGTTTAAATTATAAAAAGCATCCTACAATTTTAAAATTTACAAACTACATAGATAAATTCAAGAGATTAACTTTAGGCACCTAAATATTTAAAATTTACCAAATTTAACCTTAAAGTTTCAAAAATTGCAAGAAAACTCCTTCAAAATTTAAAAATAGAAAAATACCATAAAATTTTAAAATTTGATGACCAATACACATCAAATCTGGAAACTATTAGCAGACCGTCAAAATCTAAACTAAAAAAATAACCCAAAGTTCTAATAATTGCATATAATTTTACTAATAAGTTGGAGCAGCAAAAATACATAAGTAACATTAATTGATAGAAGTTTAAATCCATAAAAATAATAAAAGACTACAATATATAATAGTTTAGCATTAATTAATTATAGTTTAGAAACATTAATCTTTGATATTAATAATATTTATTAAGGAAGAATTATGTATGGAAAACTATCAGAATTTTTAGAGATATCATTTAAAAGAATCAAGTTATTTCCATTGCAAATGGGAAAGTGAAAAAAATAAATATAAAATTTAAAAAACATTCATGAGTTACTTGGATTGATATTAATATATACATATCTATCAAAGAAGTACCTATTGAGTTTCATTAAAGAATAATTCAACAACTTTATCATAATTAAGGAAGAATTCTGCATGAAAGATACAAGAAAAAATAGTAAGTACTCAAAAATTTCATACTTTGTTCTTCAAATATTAAAGAAATTAAATATTAATATTATAATATAAGATAAATTAGTAATAAAAAATGTAAGTATTTAGTTTAGATCTTTATAGAAAATGTCAGGGATAGATTATTGACATAACAAAAAAATTTATTGGATGCACATCAGAAGAATTTATTGCAGAGAATAAAAAGAGGTAGCTCATAATCTTATTTATGTAATGAATTAGGAACACAAAGAATTTCATATATGTGAAATTAATATTTATTCTCATTAAAATAGGAAAAAAATTAAAGTTTGTTTTTAAGAAGTTTGTGTTGAACATTGGAAATACATTCAACTTCTTTATGAAGTTAAACGAGAAGATAAAAGATTAATGAGCCCAGATAATAGCACAAAAATACAACTCCAGCTTGATATCAAGATGATGAAGACACTATTTTAGAATTGTCCAGGAAAATTATAAAGTTGAAGAAAGATTGATCTTAGCTTATTAAAAAATATATAAAATAGAAGGAATAAAAGATAATATTTTCTAAATATTTTATAGAATAGTTTAATTATTTTGAGTGGAGTTAGGAATCTCTAGAATAGATTTTCATGAACTTTTGTCCGTATACTAGAGTTAGCATTATTCTTTAGCTTATAATTTTCTATGAAGTCTATCAATGATTAGGAACAAACTTCATATTCTCTTTTGTATCATTTTAGTTTACTTTTAATCAATCATCTTACCTTATTGGTTTTAAATATTCAAATTTCTTGTATAACACTATTTTAATGTTTTTCACTTTTGTAACATTGTACATTCTCAAGTAAACATTGGTTTCGTGTTAGTCTAAATAATATGAAATTCAAATTAGCTTCAAATTATATTTGCTTTCTGTCAATTCAATTATCAACATAAAAATTTGAATTGGGCATGACCAATTTAAACAAACAGTAAAGAAAATAAATAATCACAATATTAAAATTTAAAGATAAAACTGAGCAAAAACTATTAAAGTGAAACCGAGGAACAAATTTTTGTTAGGAAATAAACCAAAAATACATAAATAATCACGTGCATTTCACGTGTAAAAAATCTAGTATAATATATAAATATAACATATTATGTTGTTATTATAAATAATATAATAATAATAATAATAATAATAATATATTGTAGATAATATGTTTCAAAATTTTGGTCTTCTTTAACCTTATAACTTCCTTCAACCCAAATCAATTCCTACAGCTACAGCAACATACTCAAAAGACCAAAATCATTCAAAAAAAAAAATCTCATACAAAAAGAATTTGGATCCTCTTCACCACAAAAAAGTAGTGGAGAGATGACTGCCAACCGCTGATTATCTAGTGAATAAGTGTGATACAATCTAATTTTAACACTCACCATACCTCCGTGTATTGCGTAAATTCTTAATTTGCACTCAAAGAAAGAAAATCAGAACCACCCACTACATAATAAGTGATAAGTGGAGAGGATCCGAATCCATACAAAAATACTGCCAACACATTCTCCATTCAACGTACATCATTGCCTACTTCCCGCCTCCCCATTCAATGTACATCACTGCCATCATCCCCACTTCGTCATAAGCAACCAATAAACTATTCGAAAGAAAAAAAAGAAAGAAAGAAGATGCCACCAATTCTAAATAACAGAAGCTCGACAATCTTCTCTCTCAAAAGGGAGCCCTCCCGACCAATGAAAGGCAAAAGGAATACCAACTAAAAAACACTACGAACCTCACCGCCACCAGACATAAGTCATTATCACCAGAGCTCCACTACTACAAACATCACTGGCCCCTAGTGCTTTCATAACCGAAATCACTACCGCCGTGCTCTTCGCGTCTCCATCGACCATTCTGCGGTTTAGCTTTCCATTCAAGAATTGATCGTACGTAGTCCATCGACCACGTCACCATTGGAACACCGAATTTATACTCTTAAGCGTCTCCTAAGAGTCGAGTTCCATCCATAAGAGATGGAATTGATTATTATGGGTTATGAGGTGTATAGGCTTGGGTCATTTCTTTCTCATCTAAATTGTAATTACAAACAAGAATTTTTTACTCAGAGAAATTGGTGTTAGGACGTAGTCCGCATATTACCACTTGTCTGAGCAATAACAAAGTCTTATTTAGTTCTAATATTAGTTTGAGATGATATAATATAGATAAATAGGAGAAACAATTCGAAAATTAACTTAAAAGCTTATTTCATAACCGAAATCACTACCACCGTGCTCTTTGCGTCTCCATCGACCATTCTGCGGTTTAGCTTTCCATTCAAGAATTGATCGTAGTCCATCGACCACATCACCATTGGTAAACCGAATTTATACTCTCAAGTCTCCTAAGAGTCGAGTTCCATCCGTAAGAGATGGAATTGATTATTATGGGTTATGAGGTGTTTAGGTTTGGCTCATTTCTTTCTCATCTAAATT